AATAACGTCGTCGCGGGGCCGGAATCCCGGCGAGCGGTTCGCGCGCGCGCGCTATAATTGCTGGGAAAGGCGCAAATAAGAGTTTACGAGCAATTTTCGCGGTTACAGCCGCGACGGGGAGACAAAGGTCGCAATATACGTGTGTTAGATGCAAACACCCGTTTACGACTCGATGATAACTGAGTGGGAACGTCGCGGTGGTTTCGTCAACTCGTCGGTTCGGAAGCTCGCTTTAACGCGTCTCCCACGACGGTATGTCCGCCCACCTTTAACGAGATTGCGATTTAGTATCGCCGCGCTAAGCCAATTTACCCGGCGCGGTACGGCGCTTAGATAATTTATCGCGACACGTAGTCCTTCCCTCCCCTCCCCCCCCCCTGCGTCGTGGCGCGTAGCTCGCGGAATTTGCCGGATAAAGCGGCTGTCTCAAGTTCTGCAATATTCATTAAGGATTTTGCGGTGTCTCCTCCCCTCCCCATTCCCCTCCCGGCCGGCCTCGCCGGGTCAAAATAACCGTGCGGATGAAACAACGCGTTAACCGAGCCGGGAGTAACCGGTAGTTACGACAATCCATCATTAGAGCCACGCGCCGCCGTGCCGGCTCCTCGGCAAACGCAATAATCCCGTGGGCAATGTTTACAGACATAATTGTGCCGCTCATACCGAGCGTGTGTAACCGTAGTCCATCCTTTAGGAGCTGCGCTATTATTAATTCGTTATTAACGCGACGTAAGAATACGTACGTAACGTAAGTACGTACATTCGTCGGTAGATCTTCGCGGCACTTTGCCGGCCGCGAAGATAACGGCTGGAAAATGCCGATCGGCAGCGAGATCGGCGAGACGGTATCGTTAACGCGCCGGGGCGCACGGAGATTTCATCTCGTTATCGCGCGTGTGTAATAATTAATCTTCCCTCTTACGCTCTGCGAATAACAGCAAAGGCACGAAGTACCTTCTTGCCGAGCTGACGTTAACACAGTGAGCCTCGCGATAAACGCGAGACGAAGCGCAATGGATGGATGTTGAACGCCCGCGCGATTTAAGGAGATGTATTAATAGAGAAGAATTCTGTATTCTGTGTGGGAATTATGCCGTGTGAAAAGTACACGTCGAACTTGAGTGAGAAATTATCTTACGATTAGTTTCATTATCAATATTAGCTTCGTTACCTACTTATCCCACTTTTGAGGAAATCTCTCTCGACTCTTTCGCGTTAAACGCTTCGAATTAGATATTGTTTTTAACTGTGGCAGCAAAACGTTGGTTTTGTAAGCAGACGGAGCAACCTACTTAAGATCATCGTCATTGTTTCAACTCCTCCGAGCGTTTCGTATTCTTTAAGTTTCACTCGAAAAGTAAACTGATAGTCGAGCCGCTTGAAGTGATCTTCCAGTTATGTAGAGAGAATTCTCTATTCTGAATCGTCGGATGAATATTTTTTACTCGACATCGAAGGGTAAATCCGACATTGCATCGTCGCGGGAATAATTTTATTCTGATCAATTGAAAAGTTCGTAATTTTCTCGCACGGAATCAGAATCCACTTTAAGTTTAAGTGAAACATTCATTTTCACGATTCCTTATATCAGTATTTCAACTATCATTTCAAGTGAATTTTCACTCGTTTTGGGCAAGATTTCGCACCAAGATAGACATACTCTTTAAAATTATCCGCGGTAAAATCTCACTCGAAAAATAAAATGACAGCCGAGTTACACGAATTTGAATGTTCTTTTCGCACACATAGAGTGAATTCCACGTTTGAAATTATCAAATCTGGATATTTATACTTAAAATCGAAGAGTGAGCCCGATATATCCGCCGTCGCAACTTAATTCTAATCGATTCCAATCGATTGAAACTCGCACGGAGTCGGAGAATCCACTCTAAGCTTGAGTGAAACGTTCACTTTTACGGTTCCGAGGGGCACTATATTCGTAGTGCCTCGAGTGAATTTTTGTGCTCACTTCGAATGAGATTTCATTCCGAGGAGACTACGAAGCGCTCGCCGGATGTCGCGCAGCTGTGTAAAGCCGGCCCGTCGCGGGGAATTTAATTACACAACCATTCGAATTCGACGACGAACAAACAGTTACGATTAATTACTCAGGAAATACGGCTGTGGAGGGGGGGGGATTTCTTGAGAAGGGGGAGAGGCGACTGGATGAGGGCAACTTCGCCGAGCTATACGGCGCGACCCGGGGAGACTCCGACGTCCACGACGTCGCGGCGCCTCCGATGACGACCGCATTTGTCCCGGGCCGCCTTGTTACGTCAGCGTTCTCGTCGTTAATAATATCGCGGCCGTCTTGACCCGGCCTATCGATATATCATCGCCGGTCGCACGCCCGGCGATGTAATCCCGCCGTAAATTTGCCGTCGGGCGGGGAGGAAAAAAACACGGGCCGCGCGGATCTTTCTTCCTGTCTCGCGAATATCAAAATTCATGGTGCGCGGCGCCGCGCGGCCCGCCAGATTTGCAACATTCATCGGCGATACGTGTCTCTTCCGAAACGCGGCGCATGCACACTTTTACCATAATTTACGGCGAGGCGTTGCCCCATATGTTCTCGAGGCTGTGAATTACGGACCGTGCACGTGTGTGAGGGTGGTTGCTGGCTGCACGCGGCGGCTGCAGCGCGCGTGCATGCATGCATGTACACACACGCACTCTCGCGACGCGTGAGAACATACGTGGAATCCGTCGGTTCCGAGCGCGTTGCGCTCTCGGTAATGGAGTCCATATCTTCAAAATTTAACCTGAAAGCTTAGTACTTCGCGGAACAGAAGGGACGCTCGTATAACGGTTTATCACGCACGCGATGGACTCGCGCTCCTCGCATGCCCGCTTTGTGTATGCCATTGGCCGGCTAACAGGCCAGCTATACCGATTTTACGGCACGGCTTCTAGTTTGATCGTCAACGGAAGTACCATCTCGCTACACGAGGCGTCTCACGCGGGCTCAATTTCGTGTCCGAATAAGGGACGGCGATATCCAGGCGGAACGGGTTACGAGCGCGATTTCTCACGTGGCTCCTCGTCTTGTGTACTCTTCTACTTATCGTCGCGTATCTGAAACGACACTTCCCGAGTCGACATTTTCTCCCCATGTCGAACCTTTGATTCCGCAGCACGGAAAGAGTTAAGGTAGCAGGAGTGGTTCCATTTTAATGATATACGCCGAAACTTTTCGTTGAATAATGTAATGCAATTAATGCGGCGTAACTAATAGCGTAATTTACTAAACTTGTATTGCGTGACTAGGATATAGGGCAGACCGGGGAAAAGGTCGTTGGCTTAAGGAGCAAGTTGCCTAATTAATTATTTTTCTTGTTTTCTGACAGGTTACAGAATCGAGCAAATAGGGATTTCGTAACTATCTTTGACATGTTTGAAGTCGCCGCTTGCTTGCTCATTCTATAACCTGTTAGGAAGCAATAGAAATAAATTAGCCGACTTATCTCTTTTTAGCCAACTGAGAGAAAAGAGAGAAGTACCGCAATTAAGTGACAATTAATTCAAATGAAATAATTACTTTAATACCCCTCAGCAAATATTTACTTGAATGTAACGCTTTTTCCTTTCAATATAGGAAAATAGTTCCCCTGTAATTCTTTCGTTCATACGATCACAGTTACAAATACCAATAACTTTGTTCTCGGTGCAAATTGTCCTCACAAGATCGTCAAAGCAACGTTCAAATTTCAATTCGGACCGTTCGTCCAGAAATTATACCTCGTTAAAATCCTCGGCGCTCCGACGCGCCGCCATTTCACAAACGAGCGTGCCGAGTGATTCGACAGCGTGTGTTCGCTATATAATTACCGTATCGCGCATTCAATCGTGACTATGATCGAGCCGGGGGATCTATCTCCGCGAATGATGACGTCCAGGTGAGGTGAGGTGTGCAGTGCGAGGATCCATGCGAAAGAGCGTTTGTGAAAAACGGCGGCGACGCGCATCCACGGCACATTAGCATGATAAATCTTTCGGGCCGCTCCGAGTTTCTCGTAATCCAATTAAGATTTTCGCGAGCCCCGTCCTCATCCTTTCACATCAATTACGGCGAGCCGAGAGGGGACAGACCTAAAATTGCGGCCGATTCTCGTCTTGCTAAAGTCGTCGAAGCGCGCGAGCGAGCGAGCGAGCGAGCTTTTTCGACGACGACGCGGAGCCGACGGGGACGTTTTTTGCCGAAAGAGCCTTGGGCTTCTTCGTCAGTCAACGGCCCTTGTTAGAAAGGGGTTAAATTGCGCTATATATACACATCGGAGGGTGGCCGGCGGGTGATCGATCGTCAAAGGATCGAAGAGGCTCGTCGTTCACTTTCACACGCACGCACGTCACTGTGTGCGTATACACACGTGCGTGGGTACGTGCCGCGCGAGATTCAGTCGTGTCACGTATGTTCTCGTGTGCGAAACGCGGAAATAACGGAAACAGTCGCGCCGGGTGAGGGTGAATCTGCCCTAAAGCGGAATCGTTCCACTATGTTAGTGGCAAATAAATCTACCCTCTGGAGTCGAGGAAATTAGGCGACTCCGCGCGATGTTACTTTCGCATTCTCCGCCGAAGATTCATCGATAACAGCGCGATTCTCGCATCGTTGTAAACTCACGCGTATTCCGCGCGCGATTTGTACCTAGATCGCAACCGGGCCGAGATTTTCCTTCGGAGAAAAATCGCAACCGGTATCATTCTTCCCCGCAGTCCCGAGAATCTCGACATGAAGTTCTTTTCGGAACTCTTGCTGAAAATAACAGAAATTAAAAATAACACAAAATAGAACTTCGTTACAATCGTGTGGAGAACTTCCCGGAGATCGTGTGCGTATCCGAGTTGGAGCGAGAGTTTCCGCGTTTCAATTATCCCGACTCGGTCGTCGGGAGGGCGATCGCGAGACTTCGTCGGGGCTAGGATAGCCGTGAGAGGAAAAGGGCCGGTATCGATTAAGGACGAGCGGACGCGCGTAAACGAAACACATCGCTTATACTTGCCTTCGGTGACGAAGACGAAGATCGATGCCGGTTTGGTGTTGGAGGCGCTGCACGTGTAATTACCCGTGTCGGACTCCACCGCCTGGCGAATTGTCAGCCGACTCTGAGTTGGTCCTGGATCAGTTTGTACGACCACGCTGCCGCGCGTGGTGTCGTAGTTTATCATCCGGTTATTGTGATACCAGAACACGTATTGCGGCGGCGTTGGACTCTGGAACAGATAGAAGAAGAATGGCGCTGGTTGACAAGCGTGAGATTTAACGCGCGGATTTTTCCAACACAAAGGCGGCGCCGTCGGTGGCGGCCACGACGCCGGCGACGACGAGTCGCGTGGGTCCCGTGCACGCGGCCCGTGACATTCGTTGTGAGAATTTCTTCCGACAGACAAAACGCCTCTTTGTGCTGAGAACCATGGACGCCGGGATCTCCCTTTATTGCTCTCGTTCGCTCATCTCTTTGGACCGATACTCCAGGGAGATCAATGTCGAGATTAAAAAATCCCTGACTCGTGTTCATTTAGATTTAATTAATATTCATATATATGTTCCCGTACAATGGCACCACTCGACTGGTATTCTTTGAGTTTACACTCTTTTTGTCTGAAAACATTGGAATGTCTGAGTCGAAATTTTGATACCTTCAAGGGTGATCTACGTCTATTTAGGTGGCCTATGTATCAGTAAAAATTTATTTGAATAAAAATGAGAATGGCTTATAAGAGCCTATGCACGAAAGTTGTAGTATAATAATAAGGAAAAGTAGAAAAAGCATCGAAACTGATATACTATTTTGCTTTTGCGCTCTAAAACCCCGTTGGTGTAAAATTAAAATTTATACGCATGGATGCAGGTTAACAACTTTTCTTTACTGAAATATACGGTAGTTTTATGAAAAGTATTACATAATTATGAGAAAATAACTATTTTTTAAGATGTTTAAGAACCGACGTTTCTCGAAAATAAGTTCCAATCTAACATATCCATGATACTTATAGGAAAATATATAAAATAAATAAAATAAAAGCATTGAAATTATATTGTCTAATATATTTATTATGTATCCGTACATATTACATTTAATTTTACATTTTTTTAAATTTTAATAATTTTACGATTTTAACAATTTCCAATTTCACGATATACTGCTTCTTTATATGGGAAAGAGATTCCCTCTGATTTCTTTCCGACAATTTTAAACTAACAAACAAGAAAAACGAAGGAAAATCAGTTGCCAATACTACACTCTTGTTAACTTCTTTCTTGAACCTTTAATTCTACAGATTTCACTTTGACGCTACTGTGAGCAACTTACTTTGACACGAAAGCAGTGTCGGAACGCGAGATAGGAAACGGAAATTTAAGATATTGTCACGGTTAAAGTAAGAATAAATTATAAAGTCAACTTTAATTAAAATTAAACCTATTTTGATATCTTAGCTTCTATCGTGTTGTAAAATTAAGAGTTTAACGTAAGGCTAAAATTTCGACTCGAGAGTTCGAGCGTCCTCTCGGGAGACGCCCGACGGCGTCCATACTGCGATGTAAACGTTACATGACACCCGAAGCGCATTGTAGCGCGAGGACATCCTTTATCAACCTGAGAACCGACGCGAAATAGAAACTCATCGATATTCGGCACGTGTACAAAGCGTCTCGCAACCGAATATGTTTTAATGAGCGTGCAATCGTAACAGTCGCGCGTCCTATTATTAATTAACAAACCGGAAACGCGGAGATCTCATTATCTCTTGACTAAACTCGAGGGGTTGACGATGCGGCGAAATTTGGCGCTTTAATCGATATCAAACGGGCTCCTTCGTAATTCGGGATTCTAGTCAGAGATTTAATCGCGCTTTAATCACGCTCAACGTCGCGGTCACGGAGCGACGATAAAGGATCGCGCTCGCGGAATTTTCGGCGACGGGAGATCGACGCGGATTGTTTGAAACAGTAATTTTAAGTTGCCGCGGTATATGCACACACGTGGGGTAATTTCGCGTGCGCGGGACACTCGGTGTGTGCACACGCGGCAAGTACGCCGGAGATATATTTTGAAGTAATTAAACATCAACTTGCGGGAGTTTAATATTTGCTTTTGCGAGCGTCGGCTAAGCGCGCAAGAGAAATTGGTTACAAAAACGCGAGTTTACATAATGCGCGGCTTTCGTTGAATGAGCGTGCGCAATTCAGCTGTGGCTGCGAGCGATGAGGCCCATCAACCGTTTATTATAACGCCGGATATATACGCTTACTGCGGTCCTGTCACGGGGTAGAATGCAGGAAGGATAGGTGCGTGAAACTGCACGCTGTTAAGGCAGAATATCCGCAAATAACTTGCTATTTTAACGTCGTCAAAAAATGTGCAATACACCGTGACGGAGCAAGAGATAAGAATGTATGACTTTGAGATTCTTGTTTTGGTATATTTTATATGTATATATATATATATATTTTTTTTTTTAATATCGCTCGTTGAAACGTTCCTCAAAAAGATTTCGAATGCACAACTTTGTTATAATTTAGAGATCTTTTGACGTAATCGTTATGTATATATGTAAAAGATATGACAGTCTCGTTGTTTTTTATCGAATTTATCGAAAAGAGAGATTCAGTATAGAATAAAAGCACCAAAATTGACACAGATGTGGTAAACCGACATACTCGTGATTCTCGATTGTAAATTACTGACCTCGATCGGGCGGAACATGAATTTCAGCACTTTTATTTTATTTTCTAATACAATTTTCTAATACAATATTTTATATTCTAACACAATAATTTTAGAATCTTTCGTGACGATCGACTTCAAATTTTCTCCAAACAGCTCGAGATATGTCTCGATGCTTTTCCTGTTATTATGCGTTTTATTTTTTATATAAACACGGAGTATTCTTAAATGTTTGAAAACATCGATACCGTGAGACGGTAACTCGGTGTCCAAAGAAACATGTACCTCGCCAAATAAAATGTTCTTTCCGTAGAGGTGACAGTACATCGCAAGTTAATGCACCGCGAAACACGCGGTCCTGCTCGCGTGAACTTTAAACTTTAAAGAAGCGCGCCATGTCTGGAAGAAAAAAGATCCTCGTTTTCGCATTAACGTCGGACAGGAAACTCGGACGAAATGCGACGATGCGTCTCGCGCACGACGTTTCGGTCGATAATCTTTAAGTTTACTCAACAAGTTAACAGAGTGAATGCTGACGCGTTTCGTCTCGTTACAAGCCAGGTATGGCGCAGCACGTGCCGCAGTAAGGTTTAGCATACAGGCCTTATATAGTGCATAAATTTCCGCCCAATGTAGCCGCGGGATCAGATATGCGGGATGTTGCTCGTCATCCGTTTATTGTAACGCCGGATACGCGTATATTGTGGCTGCCGCAAAGCGCAGGAAGAATAGACGCGCGAAACTGTACGCAGCGAAGTGCGGATACCCGAGGATTTTCAGCTTCACGGCGTTCCGCCCGGCAAAGCGAACACACAACCAGGTCGGAGGCCACGCATTCCTCCGGGCTAAATGCTCGTTCTTTCGTTCCGTTCAAGGCTCGCCGAGCCTCCACGGCGAAATATTCAGCGCGGTGTTTGCGAGCTCGAATGTCCACGGGGAGAACGGCCATCGCTTCGCGTTACTATCGTCATTACGTCCGGAAAAAAGTTTGGCTGAATCTACCTAAAAAAATAGACGTTGCAATGAGTTTGTTTCTCCCAAGATTACGCGTAGTATAGTGGAAGGATTTATTTGGTTGGATCTATCTGGCAAATGATTAAAAAAAACAAGTTTGATGCAAATGAACTTTTGAAGAAATTTGGTTTCCTCCAACTAAAACGCGTTTGGTTGTCCATTGTATATTCGTACGTGAGTTAATTTTTAATTAATTCCGGACTTACGACAAATAACGCACATTCCCCGGGAATGTAATTATCGAGCGGTCATTTTGTTCGTTCGATTAAAACGTAATTCGCGATAATATACATTGTCTGAACAGGTTGTCGCGTCTATCATTCCGTTCTCCTCGCGATTCGCAGAGCTATGTATAGTCTCTCGTTTTTTTTCTTCCTAGAGGTTAGGCGTATAATACATTTTAAATTCCTCTCTTTTCCTTGCAAGATATTTCAGCGTATTATCGTGTAATTAACTCGGTGAGGCCGCATGTTGCGAGCTTTTTGAAATATTATGGTCGATTTTACGCCACCAGAGACGAATAAATCCCTCCGAGACACTGTATGTAATTCACTTTGTGCTTTTAGGGATTCATATAAATTATCCCATTGTTCTCGCGAGACGACAAAGTGGAGTTTCAACGTGGTAATACGCGTTACACGGTAGAAGAAAGCGAATTATATCAAGCAAGTAATACAAACTATTAGCATCATGCTAATTGCGCCGACTTATCCTGTAGCGGTACATATAAAGCGTTATGCATGCATAATGTAAGACGCGCGATGGTTTTGTGTTACGCGAATGCGGATTACGATGTCAATAAAACGATCGTAAATATTTGACCGTGAGCAAATCCGCTTTTGCATAAATTTGCATTATAACCGCGACGGTATAACAAGTATGATTTGCAAACAATAGAACGAGTTATTAATATTATATCGATTGTTATGATTACAAAGGTACGTACATATGAGACTGTGCGGTGGCTAAAATTAATGCGCACGTGTAGATAAATCAATAGATTTCATAGTCGAGTTTTGTTGAATTTATATGACACCGTACACATATTTGACAAATTCAGATTAATCGATATGGTCCGATTATATTCGTGGCCGTAAACAGACGTTGTTTATCATTTTCGGCTATCGAGTAGACTTACATGCGCCACATATTACGCGAGCGTGACAGTTGTCCGATACATCGCGACAATTTGCGGGATAAATCGGCAAAGAGCAACATTCATTTTTCTCAATCTCTTTTCACTTAACTCTTTACCTACCGCCGTAAATAATACGTGAATTTTAATACGGCTACTTGATTTTAATACGGTTTGAACACTTTTTTTCGATGTTCGAGTTCGAAGGAGCTACTTGATAATACCTTCAAATTTGGAAATACGTGCTCGTGGCACCTCCAAATTCGAAGCACGTATTTCGAAATGTCCCTCATAATTACATAGAGCTATTATTTCAACATGAACCTCAAATCTTGGTGATATATGGTTAACAGTGTACGATCACTAGAAATTTTCAATTATACGTATCGGGTCTG